TTCAGCAGGAACCTACCCTTTTCCAAGGCACAATCTTCGAGAATATCATCAAGGGCCTTGTAGGAGACCAAAGGGATTTACCGGCGGAAGCGCAAATGCAACTCGTGCAAGAAGCGTGTAAGAACAGCAACGCGCATGACTTTATCGAGGCGCTACCGGAAGGCTACCATACCCAAGTTGGAGAGCGCGCAAGTATGTTGAGCGGTGGTCAACGACAGCGCATTGCCATCGCTCGAAGCATCATCTCGAACCCCAAGATCTTGTTGTTTGACGAAGCGACTAGCGCTTTGGACCCTCGCGCCGAGAAGGTCGTGCAGAGCGCACTCAACCGCGTTTCGATCAACAAGACGACGCTGATCATTGCCCATAAGCTTGCCACTGTGATGGCGGCCGACAACATCATCGTCATGAAAGAAGGTCAGATCTATGAGCAGGGTACACATCATGAACTCCTCGAGAGTGATGGTCTGTATGCAGCCATGGTGCGCGCACAAGATCTTGGTACAAAGGCCAACGACGAGGACATTGAGAAAGAGCTGCTGGAAACAGCAGATGTTGAAGACGCCCTGGACAGCAAAGCCCCAATGCGACGAATGCAATCGCAGTACAGCAACACGGATGTCGAGCGCGAAATCGAGCAGCTTGCTGCTGGAACCTTGGGTTACTCTCTCATCAAATGCATCTGGATCATGCTGAAGGAGAATCTTGATCTCTGGGTCTGGTATACCGCCACCATCATTGGAGGCATCATCGGCGGTGGTACCTACCCAGCCCAGGCTATCATCTTCTCTCGTCTTGTTCGGGTGTTCACACTGCAAGGATCTGAGGCACAAGATGAAGCGAATTTCTGGGCACTCATGTTCTTTGTGCTGGCTCTCGCCAACCTCTTCGCATACTTTATGATTGGCCTTGCCTGCAACAACATTGGGCAGGCAATGACTCATCGCTATCGAAGGGAGATGATCGAACGCATTATCAGCTTTGATCAGGAGTTCTTCGACCGCCCGGAGAATTCGTCTGGCGCGTTGACCTCAAAGCTGTCATCTGCACCGACAGCATTGCAGGAGTTGATGTCTGCGAACTTGGGTCTCATGTTCAACATCTTGGTCAATATCACGGCGAGTAGTGCGCTTGGCATAGCGTATGGCTGGAGGCTTGGATTGACGCTGGTGTTCGGCGGGCTGACCATCATCGTCGCTGCCGGCTACTATCGTATTCGACTGGACCAGAAACTCGAGAGTGCCACAGAGGAACAGTTCTCTGGCAGCGCGGGTTTGGCTACGGAAGCCGTCACCTCCATACGGACGGTCAGCATGCTCACTCTCGAAACCTCGATCATGCGGCAATACAGCGACACACTCCGGGCTATCACGGGCAAAGTCGTTAAGAATCTAACCTTTGCGCTGATCCCATACGCGCTTTCGCAATCCGCTGACTTCTTAGTCATGGCTCTAGGCTTTTGGTACGGATCGCGGCTAATTGCGAAAGGCGAGTACACTACGTCGCAGTTCTTTGTCATCTTCATCGCCATCGTCTTTGGTGGGCAGGGTGTCGCGCAATTCTTCATGTACAGCACGTCGATCACAAAGGCAGAAGGCGCCGCGAACTACATCCTGTGGCTGCGGACAGTCAAACCGACCATATGCGAATCCGATGAAACCGACGGGAAGGGGCCGCCATCTGATGGCACCATCGCCATGGAAGACGTTGAGTTCAGGTACAAGCAGCGCAACGCATTCCGGGTGCTGAGGGGTATCTCGATGAAGATCGAGCCCGGGAAATTTGCTGCTTTTGTTGGCCCTTCCGGTTGTGGCAAGAGTACAGTCGTGTCTCTGCTGCTACGCTTCTACGACCCGATATCCGGACGCATCACATTGGATGATCAGGATATCTCGCTCATGTCTCCCCAGCTCTACCGCCGTTACATGTCGCTGGTCCAACAGGAGCCACCACTCTACCTTGGCTCCGTACGAGAGAATATTGCCCTTGGTCTCCAACACAAGCCTTCCGACGCCGAGATCCAAGAGGCGTGTCGCCAAGCCAATGTCCTCGAGTTTGTCGCCTCGTTACCCGAAGGTCTAGAAACCCCTTGCGGATCCAAGGGCTTGCAATTTTCCGGCGGGCAAAGACAGCGCATCGCGATTGCCAGGGCGCTCATTCGCCAGCCACGATTGCTGTTGCTGGATGAAGCGACGTCGGCGTTGGACACTCAAAGTGAAAGGATCGTGCAGAAGGCGCTGGATGAGGCTGCGATGTCGAGGACGACGATTGCCGTCGCGCATAGGCTGTGAGTACATCCATGTGGAGATACAGGATGATCGATCACTGACATTGCATACAGGAGCACGATTCGACACGCAGATGTTATCTTCGTTATGGAAGATGGTATTATCGCCGAAATGGGTACTCATGAGGAACTGCAAAGATTAAGAGGAAGGTATTTCGCTACGTGCTTGGCGCAGTCGCTCGACCAAGCATGATTTGATACTTATAATACGAGGCTTTTCAACGCATGCAGATCGTCGCGATACACGTGAAGTCAGACTTTCTAAGGCGATTGTAATTGGCCGACGCGGTCCTTCTCTTTGACGAGAGCTAATTCGCATGTGCAGACCTACTAGTCCGCTCCCGTTTCTACAGTCGCCCCGCCTCGCCTAGTGTTTTGCTGATTACAGCAAGCGTTCAGCGGTCGGGAGTATTACCATACATCAAGTTGGCACCTACATTGACTGCCATGGTTACTCTCACAGAGCACTCAACGATATGTCTTCCTTAACCCGGAACTCCGAGCTTTCGCTGCTCGCCATGCCAACCAATGATCGGCCATCCTTCAGGGAGAGTTGCGAACGGAGGCAGTTCGTACCGACCATGGCATGCGCCACTAGTGCACTTCAGGTTGCACAACCCAAGCATTTTGCAATAGCACACACTCGCATTGGGGCAGTGAATAGGGTCTTGCCCAAATATTACTACAAGAATTAGTACACTGGGAACTCCATGACCAGGGTGGGGTATTTTACTATGCCAGGAATACTCCATAATCCTTCCACTGATTGAGTCTTCCAAGGTTGTCCTCAGCAACAAATTTCGAATGCGCTCATAGTATTCAACCGGTTGTTCCTGTATCTTTTCCTTCGTAGCAGCGAATTGCGCGCAGCAAGAAACACCAACTGCCATTGGAATGTCGCGACCTGGGAAGATCACTTCGAAGGCTTGTTTGTAGAAATGACCCGCATGAGGCTGAGCGTGGGCTGCGTCTACTGCATCTGTGAGTGGGCGAATCTCGTTCGGGCAACCCAGAACCCATACACAGCGCAGGTTGAGATACCCTTTTTCCTGTAGGTAGGAAAAGCGAAACTTTCGCAGGATTGACAGACCGTCATAGTCGGGATCGTCGTTGTGCCATTGGTATCTCTCCGCGTGGAGAAAGAGAATGTTTCCTGGCAATTTGTGATAGTTGTCGATGATGAAGCTATTTCAGAGTCAGTCCTTGCATAGCAAACGACATGATCGCGTAGGATTGTATTCATACGAAAGATACACCATCGATTCACGACCCTTGTTCAACGGCACCGTGAGCTCGGCGGTTGGATCGTCCACCACATAGACATATTTGCGCCACTCTGGAAGCTCATCGTAGAACCAAGACGTATTCTCATGCTTCATGGAAGCGATGACTAGGGCCTTGTCGAACGGGCCTTCGTTAAGAGCGATGCCGCCATAAAGTTTATCGGGAACATTCGAGCTCAGTTTCCAGAAAGTCAGAACGGATAGGAGTACGAGACACGTAGCGATGAAAGGGTTTCGAATCGGTCGACGCAACGCGGATATGACGTTGGCGTAGAGTCTCATATTGGAATTGAAGATCGATGAAGAAGGAACGACGCACAAGTGCGAAATTTTATTCCATCCCTCCAGACATTAGGAGCAGCAGCACATGACTGTGGTGTACTTTGGTTGTTGAGATGAGATTTTACTAAGGACCATGGTAGCGATACGCTGAAGCCAAGGTTTACATTGGACACGTGATAGCGTAGAGTCTGCTCATGGATCAGGGCATGTCTGAGTGATATGCGCGGAATCATGACCACAGCAATATTACGAATGTGTCAGCAGCAGCTGAAAGGGTTCAGTTCCGGCCCCCAAAGTCATGCCGCGGCCAAGTCCAAGGATGGTTAGCCTCTGGCCCCGATCTCGGCTCGACGTGCATTAGCGTGATGAAAGATCGACCAGACGACAACAACACGCTGCGACACATCTTCAAGCACACAAAACGACGGATGTAGCCGCGAGAGCGCTACTTCGACAGATTCCATCGATGAGGATAACAAGTCACACCGGAGCTTCACAACCGGCTCTGATGTCCATCAACCTCGAGTCGCCAGACTGAGCGACGTGTTTCGTGGCGCCTCCGCTCAAATTCAACATGTGGCAAATCGACGCCATAAGCCACCCATAGTCCAGGAAATCGTCACTATCTTGTTTCAGCTGCAGCCACAACGAGACCTACTCCTATTACTGGAGGCCTTGCCGTGGGGCCAACGTGCTCTTGGCACGATAACACACCTACGAGACAGACCGCCCTCCCCCTCTCTTCTGAGCGCAACGATGATGGCGAAGCATATGTATTGGAAAGTCGCGGACTAACCCATCGATGTCTTGCAGCATGTGTATTTGCATATCTTTCGAGAAGGATTGGAAGAAACTACGAGCATGAGGCTAAGCGCCAGGCTGCCTGACAGCCTCAGGCCGAACCTCAGGCCGCTCAGCCAGTAATCCACATGCGCGCTGTAAGGCCCCCACCCTAAGATGGGCGATAGCCACTGCAATTGGTCTCAATATCGACCGCAGCACAATGGCGGTGCACGGCCTTTCAGCACACTATTCTCATAAGATCAGATCTGGGCCTCGCTCGCGTGGTTGTACGTCTCTACCAAACCATTCTCTAGACGCGTACCGAATTGTTACCTTCGGCCTTCAACACCAAATCCGCTTGACCGATGGCTGGCTCGTTCATCACGGTCTCGCGATGGGTCTTCTTCCTGTTCTGCCTTACTACGGTCACTTTTGCGCATACACTCAATAAGCCCCCGACACGAGCACTCGACCTTCGACCAAGAACTTCCCCCACACCACAGGAAGCTTCACTGAACATCAAGCGCGCCCTCAAGCAAGGACTCGAAGTCTTCAAACGCGATGTATGCGAAGATGCGTTTCCAGGCGAAGGCGCAGTAACAAATACCTGCAACCCCAGCAATACGCTCTGCTGTATCCGAAAGGGAGAAAGCTACCCCCAGTGCCAAAACCTCCTCAATAAGGGATGGTGCTGCATCGACAATCCCAATAGCGAGCCTGGCTGTTACGTCGACCAGCCATCTGTCTGTGAAGAAGCCGACTCGGTGCCATGCGCGAACCTTGAGGCTGGCGTAGACCAAGCATGCTGTCCAGGCCAGACTACATGCGCGTCGGGCTACAAGTTCACCGAGAAGTTTGTACGCTGCCAGATTCTCTCGGCTGACCTCGTGTCGTTAGCCAGTGCGAGCGCTGCTCCTACAAGTAGCTCAAGCATAGAACCGAGCTCCGCTTCGCCGACGTCCGAGATCACCTCGTCTGCATCAAACTCCGTATCATCAGCGTCCTCCTCCGTTCCTGCTACAGCATCAGACGTCCTTTCCAACGCAGCATCGAGCGCCATACCGCCACCTCCGTCTAGCGATTCATCTTCGTCTTCCTCGTCCCCCTCCTTGTCAGGCGGTGCTATCGCGGGTATCGCCATTGGACCGACACTGGCGCTGGTAGTCGGCGTAGGCCTATGGTTCCTTTACAAGCGTCGACAGAAGAAGAAAATGCAGCAACCCTACGCCCCGGCAGTAATGTACCAAGACGCGTACCCAAAGGCCGAGCTGGCATCAGAGCCCGTAATTCCTGGGCCCTACAAATATCAACATGCTGCTGCCGAGCCACCTCAGGAGATGCCTGTTCAGTATACCTACGAGCTCGACGGCGGGGCTCATCGCGGGCCGTAGAAGAGGGGTAATGCTGTTGCGAGGACGCGATTCTCTTTATAATGTTCATGGCTGTGGCGATACCCGAAATTTATGTCATCATGCACTATAACCACGTGTAGATGAGGGCACGCTGGCTTGGTATTCTCATGTTCAGATGTCTCGTATTCTTAATTTACTTAACTCATTCCACCTGGAAATCTTAAGTTACCTGCACACCGCCATCCAAAGCCAGTATCTCCTCGCGTATAAGTCGTATGAAATTCGGGAGGTGTGGTTGGCTCGTCGTCTCTGGGTCGCCTCTGGGCATCGCAGTACCATGGGAAGATGATTATCACGCTGTCAATCGGCTTCGTGTTGACTGGTGTGAAGAGTGAAATTGAATTAGACGTGCCTTCCTCGCTGCCTGTGGCTCGTACCCGAAGAGCCTCCAGAGCTCTTCCCTCCTACCTCTCGCGTCCACACCACACCAACTTTTGTTCGAAATCTGCCAAAAAATCGCTAAAATGCGAGGACGCGGCAACCATGCGCAGGGCTTCGGCCAACGTCAAGTGCCGACAGGACCTCGACGAGGGAGCTACAATGCGCCATCTGGAGCACCTCGCGGCAGAGGTGGCTACAGTGCCAACCCCAGTGCCAACGGGTACAACGATGGGTCTGCCCATGGCAATGCCAGTGCCAGTGCCAATGCCAATGCCAGTGCCAATGCCAATGCCAATGCCGACAACGGTCAGTATAGGCTGAAGCTCGACGTCATGTACTACCTTCGGCCCCACGACTGCGTCGACCAGCTGGAGATTCCGGCCGGCTCTGGAATGAGCCGCAAGGACACGACCTGCCTGCATTGTGGAGAAACAAACATTTTCGGGCATGGCTCGTATCATTTGCTCCGCGACGGCTCTTGCCCTCGTCGCTGCTGCCGTTGTGGAACCATGAACCACCAAGGATGCGTGAGTCTTCTCCCCTGATTTGAGCTCTATCAAATGCTAATACTCGATAGCTTTGTGACCGATATTGGCTCTCTACTGCCTTTCTGAAGCGTGCGTGCCCAAGCGAAGGGATGCGTAGGCCCAGGCAGACTCGCCCATCGCCACTCGATCTGGAGGTCATTCGACGCGACTACCCAGAGCACCGCGAGTTTGCCGAGAGCGTGCTGCCGCTTGCCGACAAAGGACACTACCATCCGTCGCTGCAGGTGCCCAAGCGCGCACGGGAGGACGACGACGAACAACCGGAGCCGAAGCGATCACGGACTGATGCCGGTGGTGCCGAGATCGATAAGATGAGGGCGGACATGGATGCTCTCCGGGCCGAGAATGAGCGGCTCAAGACTGAGATTGAGCAGCTCAGGGCTGAGAATGAGAGGCTCAGGGATGCGAGTCGTACTTCTGCTCCTCTCGTCAAGAAAGAAGAAGTCGAGGAGCATGGTGTCGAGACTCTTAGCGAAGAGTTCGACAGACTCGTTGAGGAAGAGCTTGCTCGAATAAGTCGGTGAGGTGGATGCCAGTGAGGATTATCTCGGCAAGGCTGTGCATTATCCGGAGGGCTAAGAGGTGACGGTGTCGTCGTCTTGTAAAAATCGCTCGCGAGGGCCCCTCGCGAGTAAAGCACCCGTGAGAAACGCTCATGGGGAAGGGGAAGAGAATGTTACGGGGATAATGGCTTCTTCGTCCTTATGGATGCCCTAGGTGATGTTGGATATAACTGCACTGTGCCTTGCCGCCTACAACATACGAATACATAGATATAGCGGCATCAATCAATATGATTGTTACAATGAACGACTCATTCTTTGCTGCCTTCGGCTTTCCCAATCTTGCGTGCGAAGGTATCTCAGCCTATGATCCATTTTATCAACGTAGTTGCTACACTTGACACAAGACGGCATGCATCGCTACTGAGACAGAACTTCTCGGGTGTTTGAAACCATGTTCTCTATTTCGGCACATGCATTCTGGCTGATTAAACGCTCCAAGATCTTGCCAAGTTGTTGTACAATTACTTCTCGGGCAGGTAAAAGGCAGCGTACATCGGCAGTGACATGGCGAAGGAATTAGGGCTTTGTGTCCTCAATGTAGGCAACATCTCACGAAAGTCGGAACACATTCTCGAGTCGCAGGGCGCTTTTGTGAGTTGTTCGCGGTATACCTAGATAGACCGATATGAACGAAACATCTCAGTGACGTAGCGGAGGGCGGTTTGACACGGGTTTGTGCTCCTGCTGCTTTCCATAAGCGGTGTTTACGGACCCACTTTTCTGCGCACTCACCTCACAGTCAGTCCATGATACCTTCCCTCTCCACCACCGACATCTATTGCTTTTCAGCAACACCACGCTGAAATGGAAACTGCCGGTATGTCTCATGAGCTGGCGCTCTCATTCAACAAACTAACAGATCACAGCAGAAAAGGCGCAGCAGCGCATCATCCACTTGCGAGGGATTATTGCCTATGGCAAGACGCAACCCAAAAAGTTCCGGCCCCATTTCCTCCAAAAATGGGAGGACGAGATTGCCAGCCTTTTGCCGATCGCCAACCCTTTGCCGGCGTCGCCAAACCCAGAGACGAGTGCCGTTCCTGGAAAAGAGGAAGAGAAGATTGCCGAACTGAGCGGAAGCCGGTGGGTTCCCAAAAGTGCCCTCATGAAGAAGTACTTTGGAAACGAATTGCCGCTGCCATCTACGAGACCATCAATGTCTCCACTCCAACAAACCCTTGCCCCTGCCTCGGTCGCGACCAACGAGAGGGAGACAACTGCCGGGCCCATCAACGGCCTGTCGAGAGCCGACGCTCACCGTGCCGCAAGGAATGCCTGGTACAAGGAGCATGGCCTGGATCCCAACGATGAGATCAGCGGGTGGAAGTACGCGGAATTCCGGCGACGTGGGGGAAGATGAAGACCTGAGCGGATTATTCCCTTCGGGGTCCCATATCTGATACGGTCGTTGCCAAAGTACCTGCTGGAGGTGTGTGGGAAAATGGGTTTCGCGAAGACTGCTCGCTGTATCCAGCGAGCGACATGAGAGATGCGTAATTCCGTTCGATGATTTCGTCGAGCAGGTAGCACATGGAAGCGCTGGACGAGCGGTGCCTGTGGTTGGTGGTTTTGCCGAGATGTATTATAGTCAGTCAGTGCAGGCGTTGCCTTTGCCAATACCATGCATCGCGCTCGCATCATACTCTCGCCTCGATCTCGTGTGACAGTTTCATGAACGCTCAGATACGTGGCCAGGTATATTGAGGCAGCGTCCCACGGAAACCCACGTAGTCTGTGCAATTCCTAGCCTGGCATGACGGCAAGAAGCAGCGCGAGAAGAAACCTCACGATGTTGGTGTTGAAAACACGTTGCACGCTTCTGATCTTCCTGCTTTTGTCGGTACGCTGGTGATCATCATGACACTCCTTTCAATGTAGTACGTTGTATCCTATTAGGATGCTTCTTTTGTTTAGTGAACTGTACAGGCTGGCGGTCTCCCGATCTCATAACGAACACAGCTGGATGTTTAAAAAGAACAGCAGCCAGAGCGAACATGGGCTGCATATGTTGCTTTTTTGAGTTTGAAGTATGGAACGCCGGTTGAAGAGAAGAGGAGAAACAAAGGCAGAAATTTATATCCCTCTGGAAGGACAAGCTCTTGGCCGGGGTCTGCTTCTCTCATGTTCTTTGAGTGTCTTCGTTTTTTTGACAGAACAGGAGAGAAAGACATGTCGGAAAAGCACTTGACATTTGGTGTCTGCACGACGCAGAAGATGTTTAAGAACGCGGGTTGAGTTAAGCATAGCTTTGTACATCTCAGCATAACCTCTCATAAGTTGTAATAGCAGTACGTTGCGAGACTCTCCCCTCCTCTGGACTCATGTAACCCATGTTTGTTCATCTTGGAAAAGAGAGAAGAGACATGACTTGGTATTCTGAGCATTTTGATACCTAGGATCGAGTGTAGTAGAAGAAGAGTGGAAAGACGGGCGTAACAGCAGGGCTTTTATATCACCACAAGCTCAGCCGCCAGTCATAAGGCCGATGTTGCGGCATTTCAGTGAAGTTTCGTCGCGCTCACCGTCTGCGACATATGGGGTGCATGGTGCCTTTTCTCGTTCTTCCGACAGCGGACATGCGCTGTTGAATCCATGATTTTGATGAAGCGCGGCGGCACAGCGATCTCATCCAGACAGCGACTTTAGCTTTTGGGAGAAAGAAGAGAGTCGCGACATTATCACGTCTTCGAGATCTTTTGGTACCGCCACCACTTGTCATAGAAGATTAGGTCGTAAGTTTTTCAGAAGAACAGCGGAGCGGAACACATAGAGATTCAAGCTTGTACTTTTGGTCGCGGGTTTCGGTTGCCGCACATCATAGGCAATCTCGGAGGTTTTGATAATCTCGCAGACGGCGACCACAGCCATGTTCTGATCATCCAAGTCTTTTATTCGGGGCGGAAAATCATTCAGTTGAGTCTTGCAAGTTTTGGTAATCACCCCTTCGTGGGTGAGGATGTAGAAGAGAAGCAGACCTGGAGAAAAATGAGAGCTTTTATATCGACCGCGCGCGACGAGAACAAGTCATGCCTCGTCGTCCTGCGCATTTTGGTAATCTCATGGTAAGATCGCAGTGCCATTTCCGACACACATATCTAGTACAGGAAAGGACTTCGGACAATTTTCACATATCGACCGGCCACATGTGATTGAGAATGAGGAGTCGTAGTTTGGTTCCGCTACACATGTGGCAGAGCTTGTAACTTTTGAGTAAATACCCCAGGAAACTTCTCAGTCATGAAAGACTTCCATAGTGTTTTGGAAGAAGAGAAAACCATGCAGCGAGGTCCTCGGTGTTTTTGGAAAATACCAGTAAAGGCTGTGGGAAGTGTAGAAGAGAAAGCAGAGCGAAAGGTAGCGGATATTTATACGCTCCCAGGGCTTGCACTCAGACCGCAACGAGTGTTCTCGAACCGCATAAGTGTGGACTTGTCAAATTATCAGGAGGAGCAGACATTGGGTGCCGGCATTGTTCTTTTGGAAGCTCCAACATGTAATTGTACCTTACAGTTTTGAGGAATACGGCATCATCGATCCTCTTGTTCGCACACACGCAGAGATCATGTATCGTCTTGGTGATATTTTGGAAGACGCAGTCACGCCACATAAGTCTTTGAGACCAATGTTTGGAAGACGGGTTTTGTGAAAAGAGTCTCTTTTTGACAGACATAACAGCTTCTGAAGTTGATTTCAAGAAGCACAGAGGCATGTCAAAAACTCCATCCAGATTTGGACAAAGACGAGTCGCGTCACATCCAAAGGCGCTATCATAATTTGAACTGCGAGCCTGGAATGAAACTACTCTTTCTCCAGCCATATCGAAGCTTCTCTTCATCTTTTTAGGTCTGGACGAAGAAAGTTGGACAACAAGACAGAGAACCATTGACTTGTCAATTCTTACATTTTAGAGTCCATCGTCGTGATTACTGCTTGCTTTCACAGAACATGACGTATATGTGGTAAGATTTTATTCTTTTCCACACACATGACAGGACGTTCCTTTGATTTTGTTCCAACCCCAGACCACACAGCCGTTCTGCCTTGCGATGATGTTTTAGACGTCGCAGTCGCGGATCATGAACTGAGATGTGTGGATTTTGGATCAGAAGTCTGGATATGGGAAAGGTGGAGATCGTCCCGGCCATGGAGTGACAGTATCAGGATTTTGGAAGAGAGAACGCACACGTAGGGCTGTGTACAATGATTTTTTAGAAACCCAGGGAAGAGGTGTGATGAAGAAAGAAGGAAGAGAGCGTAGCAAGACGAGGTTTTATACCCGAGCCCACTCAGCTAGCGGCTTGTAAGGGAAGAAAGCGCCAAAGTCATTCAGAAACGGCCGGTCGCTTTTTGTTCTCCATAAAACGCGATGCCTGTGATTTTCTCAGGCATCCAGACGGTTTTGGCTTCTTTTGGAAATCATCACCAGTGGCAAGTAAGCTTTTGAGATCGCAGAAGTCCGACAGTCTTCTCACTCATGCGCGTTTCCGATGCGGATTTTAGAAGAGAGACAGCACATAGCTCGCAAGTCGTTTGTTTTTGGTGAATGAGAAATTGAAGTGTGATGCCGGAGACATGAACAGGTTGGCGGGTCGATTTTATACACACAGACAGGCTGCCAGCAAGGACGGTAGTAGTGTGAACGAAGAAACCAGCGCCGGGATGCATGAATATGTCGCCGTTGTATTTTCTTTGCTGACTTTTCGGAAATTTCTGCTCCTCTCTTCTCCAACATCACGAATCCGGACCAGTGTTTTGAAAATAAGGAGCGACGGCCATGGCGGGAAGAATATCTAGTTTTGGACGGCGGACGCAGACATCGCGCAAATGGGGAGTATTTTTGGAAGAGGAGGGAGGAGGCAGCCCATGTATTACCTCAGTGTCTGTTTTTGGACAAAGAGAGGCAGGCCACATGGAAAAGTTGTGCCATCTGTTTTTTGGGAAATAATGGAAGGAGAATGTGATGAAGAAGAGAAGAAGAGCGATGCGAGTGAGGGACTTATATACCCGGCGCAAAGACGGGACGGGCCCGCGCGCCTGCGAAGTCATATGCACGACGCCAGTAAAATTCTTGAAAGACATCGCACGTGTTCATCCAACTGGCCAATTTCTCACATACCAACGATTTGCCCTTTATAAATCCACCTTAACTTCACGCTGATGCCGCAACAGCCGCCTCACCACTCTCCTCAACCCTCCTTTTCTTCTTCCCATGATGCCCCCTCGCCTCGACCCTCCCCTCAACCGGCACCACCCGCGTAGCCGTAAAGATATACCCCTCAGCCCCACCCTTACTCGTCATCATAGGATGCGTCCGGCCAGGAAGAACCTGCCACTGACGCGCTCTAGCCGTCTGTAGACTAGGTGCAAGAACCAACGTGGGGTTGAGGGGGAAGTCGTCTTCTTCGTTGTCGGCTTCGGATGTACCTGCTGGGGTATTGACGTCGTCTTCGATTTTGACTCGTTTACCGTTGGCATTGCCGTTGATTTGCGGCGGAGGCCCAAACTCACGGGCTATGTACGCCGCGCGGCGTTCTTTCGAGTAAAGATCGCACAACTCAACCAACGGCTCAACATTAGGATTATACACCACAATCCTGCCCCCACCCTTCACAAGCGGCACCAACTCCCTCAACACAGTCTTCGCATCCATCGCCGTCGCAACCACCAACCCATCAAACCCACCCCTCTTCGTCTCATCCACCACACTCTTAACCCGCTCCCAGCGTCTGCGCTTCTTGTAATACGTACCGCGTTTCGTTGACTTCATGCTTGCAAGCACTTCTTCGGAGATTATCTCGGGCTCGTCGTACGAAGGGTCGTCTTCGGGGTGGAGGAGGGCGAGCCAGGAGAGCGATTTGAGGTGTTTGTAGAGGGGGTGGGCGGGCGTGGGGTTGCCGTAGTCGTAGCCGAAGTATTTTAGGTAGGAGAGATTGGGTTGGTTGTTGGGGTGCAGGACGGTGAGGGTGTTTGTTTGGGCGGACATTTGCGGGATGTGTGGTCGTGGGGGCTTTCGTGGGCGGGGAGGGGGATCTGAAGGGGTGGCTGTGGGGTCTGTGGTTGTTGTGGCGTCGGCGTCGGGCATAGCGGTGTCGGTGTCTTTGGGCTCTGGGGCGGAGGCTGGTGCTGGTGTGCCGTTCATTTCGACGTCAGCTGCCTCCTCTTCTGACGACGAATCGTCGTACTCCTCCTCCGGGTAGAGGATGCCCATCTTCTCAGCGAGTGCTGCTGTGACAAGACCTCCGGTATCGTCTACCACGAGCCATCGCCCTCCTCCTACCTGGCTGACTCCGTCTTCTGCCAAGTGAATCTGATTTGTCGCCCCAGAGTGTATGTTGGCCCAGCTGTTGATCAAACCCAGTAGATCTTCCCTCAGCTCCATAATCTTGTATGCCTCCTTCTCCAGAACATACTCTGTGAGCAGACCAACATCCATGGGCAGGGCGGTGAAGCGCTTCAAATACTTCTTCGACTTCCGCAGGGTGTACTTGGCCAGCGAAAAGCTCGTCTTCTCGTCGATCGCGTTATGGGATGCCATGATCTTGGCGATGATCTCCTTGCCAGAGCCGGCGCCTGCCTTCTTCAGCTCTTCAATCTCAGCCATGGATAGCGCCTGCCGCGAAGCGTCGTCAACGGTCAAGCGGTTGTTGCGCATGATGACTTGCCCATCTTCTCCCACGATGTCAAAGCCAGCAGTACCACCCTCGGTATTCTCTTCGCTAGTTTCGGCAGCAGGCGCATGGTCGCTGCCTAGAGCTTCGGCGTGGAGCTCGGAAGCGGGTACGACGTGCAGCTCCGTCTTGGATTTGCCATCGTCCTTGTCGAGCAGTTCGTAGGTGAGATAGTACGGGCGGCCGAGGAGGAGGTTGGAGTTGAAGGTCCCGAATTTGCCGAGATTGATGCTCCTGTAGGGTGTTTAGAAGGGATCCTCATCTATATGCACACGGAGGGCTCACTCCAGCTATGCGACGTACGTATTCGGGGTAATCTCGACTATCTTGAAGAGGCCTGAGGGCAGTCGCAGCGCAACGTGCGTATTGGGGCGGACGTGGGAATGCATGGCGCGAATGTAGTCGCGGCACTGTGTTGGTCACTATTCCATGTGTAGTTATGGTCAATAGTCTTAGTATGGTATCTCAGTCCCGAGTTCTGCACGCGCAAAGGTGAGGTGGAGCTAGTGAATTTGTCGCAAGGAATAGTTCCGAGGCGCACCGCCGCGTCTTACTCAGCCACAGGCTCAGCCACACACTCGCACCAGTCGTACGTCATCGCCATCGCGACTTCTGCTACTTGGGCGTGTCACTCGGGTCCAACACGTCGCTTACGTCGACTACTTTGCTTCTTTCGCTGGAGTCCTGCTTCAATATCAATCCCCTTCACCCGCCTTCCTCATACTACCGCGCCGCGCCGACTGTCGCGACAACTCCCCCATATCCCACTCCAAGCCCCAGGGCACTGCACCGCAAACATGGTGCTACGAAAGTCCGACGAAGCCGACGATGTCGTTCCAGCGCCGCTCTCCAAGGCCATCCCCCCGTATCCCACGACACCCTCCGACGAGCACCCGCCTGCCTTTCCCGTATCGCCCGAGCGTGCCGTGGACCCGCCCAGCACGAGCAAGTCGCCAGCGTTCAACATCAAGACGCCTGAGGAGACGCGACTACCTGATGACAAGCACGAGAGCGACTCGGACCTGAGCGAAGACGAGTGGAACCAGTCGGATGATGACTTCGAAGACATCAACCACAACGATGTGCCTGCCGCCCTGAAGCCGGCTGCTGGAAAAAGGCCACCTGTGCCAAGTACTACACACATCACCAGCGGCCTCCCCGATGCTTTGAGGCCAGGGCCGCCAGCAGGTATCCCCATCAAGCGCTCACAGGAAAGTATCTCGGCTACGCCCACCGGTGCCAGCGCGGCTTCCTACGGCGCTGCCAGCACCGTGTCCGAGCAGTCCAATGGCTCCATCCCGCTGAAGACCAACAACCCATACCTGAAGATGCAGACGACTGGACAGAACAGCTGGGACGGAGAGAGCAGCCAGGCTATCTGGGGCGATGCGCCGAGCCACGCTCACAAGTACGAGGCGCCCGTCGAGCTCCCGGCCTTCCAGACGCCAAGTACACCCACCCACGAGATGAAGAACCTCGGACTAGACGACCATGCCCCGTCTACGCAGTCGACAGCACCAGTAGAGCCGCCTGCCATTGCCGTGAACTCACCCACACCTCGGTCGGAGCATCCAGACACCTCCCTCGATTCGAATCCATGGGAACCCGCTTCGCACGATGCTCGTACTGACACTGTACCCTGGACGGCACCGCCAAGCGATGCAGCTGTTCGTAATGAAAGCTCACACAACATTCCCGCCCCAATCATTCCACATGCGAATACAGTCGAGCAATCTTTCCATCCACCTCAATACACGCCCGAGCAAACACCACCCTCCTCCGAAGAACCTCCACCTGCGCTGCCGCCAAGAAGGTCGCACGAGGACATGGCGCCTACAATTCCTCCTAGACCTATCGACACAGGCATTGGTTCGTCCGCTCCTCCTGCCTTGGAATCGCCCAATACGACAATGGAGAGGCAGAGGAAGGAACACTACCAAATTAAGCACATTCGCTGGCTTGATCACACCATCGAGGACATGCGCGTTTCGCCCATCCTGACGCAGAACCTGAATGGCCCCTGCCCTTTGCTGGCTTTGGTCAACGCACTAGTCCTTTCGACTCCTGCTAGGCTTGACACTGCGCTTGTTGAGACGTTACGCACACGCGAGACAGTCAGCCTGGGACTACTGCTTGATGCCGTCTTCGACGAGTTGATGTCCGGTAGACGGGGTGATGCTGCGCAAGCTCTACCCGACGTGAGCGAGTTGTACAAGTTCCTCCTCGCTCTCCACACAGGTCTCAATGTCAACCCCATGTTTGTCCCAGACTCCAACACCCCGGATGCACAATCCACGCTCACGAGCCGAGCTGGCGCTTTTGAGAACACGCAAGATATGAAGCTGTACCGCACTTTCAACATCCCGCTGATGCACGGATGGCTGCCCGAGGCTGGATCCGACGCTTATGCTGCCTTTAGTCGCGTAGCTGCGTCCTACGAAACATCGCAGTTTGTACAGTTCCAGGAAGAGGAGTTGAACGCAAAGTTAGGGGCGGGCGAGTCTCTGAACGAGGACGAGCAACAAATGTTCACGGATATCCATGCCATCAAAGAGTTCTTGATGCGTTGGCCAACACAGTTGACCGATCATGGTTTGAAGGTCATTCGCGATAACCTCCAGCCCGGTCAAGTCGCTATCCTGTTCCGAAATGACCACTTCTCAACGCTCTGCAAGAATCCTCGTAATGGCGAGCTCGTCACTCTCGTCACAGACCAGGGCTACTCCACCCACGACGAGATCGTCTGGGAGTCTCTTACCGACGTCAACGGCCAAGGTAGCCAGCTCTTCTCCGGCGACTTCCGCTCCGTCGACAATAGCAACACCTCCGGCCTACAAGACCAGCACCAACTTTCCGGCGTCGACAACGGCCAAGGCTGGACCACCGTCCCCGCCCGCCGCGGCAACGCACAATCCAACATCCCCCAAGACACCGACGTCACCTCCCCGGAAGCCCTCAGCCGCGCCGAACAAGAAGACCACGACCTCGCCCTAGCCCTCCAGCTCCAAGAAGAAGAGGAAGACCGCGAGCGCCGCGAAACAGAACAACGCAACTCCCGCAACAACCAACTTTCCATGGACGCCATCAACGCTCCTCCCCAGCCACCGCGGAACCAGCAGAACCCAGTCATCCCGCCCCGTCGCAACAATAATATTACGGGGCATAGACCTGCTGGGGAAGCGGCTCCACCGCCGTTGTACGAGGAGGCTATTACAAGTCCGCAGTACGTGCCTCCGGCTGGGCATCCCGCGAGTGCGCAGGCGCCGGTGCCGGGCCAGGGCGGGAGTGCGTATCAGAGTACGAGTGGCGGGTTGCCGGCGCTGCCTGGCGCGGGGAGGGGCAGGCATGGTAATGTTTTGCCTGGACGGATGGACGGAGGGAGGAGACCGAGTCAGGGACAGCAGGGGCAGGGGCAGGAGGAGAGGGATAAGTGCGTTGTTATGTAGACGCGCTCTTCCTTTCCTCTCTCTCTCCTTTCACTTTCGCCGATCTACATATCACAATTTGGTGGTTGGGCACGTGTTTAGGGTAATCTGCTGACATGTCACATTAGAGATTCGGAAGATGTGCCGTGTTCGTGGTGTACGGTTAGTTAGTATCCGTTGTGAGCGCGGACCGAGGGTATCTAGATGATGTTGTGATTGTGATCACGGTGATGACTTGGGCGTTTGGCGGTGTTGGATTGTTTATATACCCGTTATTCCTTCTTGCTTTTCCGCTTTTCGTAGTACGCGGTCAGTAGGGTGTTTGTTGCATCAAGTTGGAAGCAGTATTCTTAATCCAGATTCCTACTCATCACTTTACATTTCCTCGGTCTTCAAACTTCCTTTGGACGTAATACATCGTATCCATTGTCATCTTTATCCGCTTTTCCATCGAAATATCCACACTAAGAGACTACACACTCAGCCTACGAACCCCCCATTCCCACTAACCTGCCTCGCCCTCTCCCTCCCTTCCATCCGTTTCAATTCTTCATCCCACTCCTCTTCTTCCTTACTCTTCGCACCGTCCTTGGCGTTCCCACTGCTTTTACTCCACATACGCGTATGTTGTCCTCCTCCGCCTCCCCGTGACTGCACAACTTCCTGTAATAGACTTGCTTTACTTACACTCCTCTGTTTTTCAGTCTGCTTCTCACTAGTACCTTCCGATGGCGCAAAACCCCGTTCCTGTCCCTGCTCCTGTCTCTTAACCACCTCAATGAACGATGACGATGTCGGTACAGCGGAAATCTGACCCAACTGCCGTTCATAAGACGTAGTAGCTTGTCTGTTATACCGCGGCATAGGCATGCTCATTCCCTCACCAGCCGTTGGCCGCGGCGCCGGTGGACGCATGTTACAGTACGGCATCGGTGGAGGAGGTGGTCGGTTCGGTGGTGGTGGGCGGCGCGGTGGATCGAGACGCAGTGTTCCTTCCTGATGAATAACTGGAGTCGATGCCGGAGCACGAAGTGTTGACAGTGCAGACATCTTGATCGGGGCATGTGTCGGTGATAAGGAGGACGTGCGCTGGGGGTGGATTGGCGTAGTCGGTCTTGGTGTCCTTGTAGGAGAGTCATTGGTATCGGAGTGGTAGTAGTCAGACGGTTCGACGTTGGAGGGGTCGTCGAACGGGTTGTCGATTTCGTGGTCGTGGTCGTTGTCGTTGTCGTGATCGACTGCCTGGCCGTCGTCTTCGGTATGGTAGACCTCGTTATCCATATCCATGCTAGAAGGCCGACTTTCCCGCTCGACGATAGAAGCAGTTTCGCAGCGCCAACTAGCTGTGCTGGTGCTGCCGCCGCTTGCACCTCTGTTCCTCTCTTCTCCTTGTGACAAGTCGACGTTGTCACGCCAATTCGTAATGCCATTATCGGTGTCGTGACCACGTTCCCTTAACGCAGGGTGAACGGACCCGTTGATCGTCAAGCCATCGCCCTCCGCATCTTTCTCTTCCTCCTCCTCCTTTTTCACCATCTCTTTCTCCACCCTAAACTCATCATCCTCACTATCACCCCCCTCAGTATTACTAAACCACCTCAACTGTCTCGGCTTCCCAGCCCCCACAGGCCTCCCAATCCTCCCAACACCCCCATCCCCCCTCATCTCCAACCTCTTCCTCTCCATCTTCTTCAGTTCCTCCGCCCACCCGCTCAAATCCTCGATACTGGGTCCTTTGTGTCTCGTCCCCCTTTCCTGCGGGCTCATCGTACTAGCCGCACTGACAGAAGGGTTAGCTAGACTAGTATTGATCCAGAGACTACCCTGTCTGTTACGACGGGATGCGGAAGACGAAGGAGTGGCTGTGGCGTTGCTGCGGCGGATGCTGTGGGCGTGGGAGGGGGGTGGTGTGTAGATGTTTGGGTTGGTGGCGTTGGAGAGGTTGGAGAGGGTGTAGTTCCGGGTGCGGAGTGGTAAGGTGTCGGAGCTGGGGTCGTGGGTTGGTTTGATGGGGCTGCTGGATGAGCGTTGAGTCAGGTTGAGACTGTCTTCTGTAGCGCTGCTGCGAGCGTTCGAGCTGTTGGTTTGTGTCAAGGTGAGGTCGAGCGTAGAGCTGTTCGACCGCAAGGAACTGCCATCGCCATCTCCCAGGCTTCGAACGAAGTTACCGTACTCATACCCCTCGTCGCTACCCTCACTTTCGCCGTCTGCGGCAATGTCGGCAAAGTACTGACAATCATCCAGAACCTTGACAGCCCACGCGAGCTTCACCCCCTTCTCGCCTACCGCAATCTCCCTACTCTTCCGCCTATCCTTGTTCATCTTGAGTAGATCGCGCTGAGCTTCCAAAATCGTAGTCAACTCCCCTGTCTGCGCATCAAACTGCAGCCAGCTATCCACATCATCCAGTTGGTCTCGCCGGTAAATGCGATATTGTTTCGCGCCGGCTGCTTCGTCATCGGCGTGCGAGTCTAGTTTCTGGGGTAGGGAGGCGTCGATGTATGTCGAAAGAGGTTGATGGAGTTTAAGTGAGCCGAGAGTGAGTTGAGCGGCGAGGAAGGTGTCTTTTGGACGCACCATAGACGGATGAATGACGTCGTTATCGCTGTTGAAAGAGCGGCGGAGAGTGTGGCGACTTGCGCAGACCTTGAGGGCCATTTTGCTGACGGATGTCTTCATTTCCTCATATGTAGCTTTGGCTTCTGCGTCTATAGAAGGAATATTAGGAAGCCATGGCGAAGGCGGGACGGCGGTAACAGGTGTCGTTGGAATCGGTATAGCCGTAACAGGCGTCTTCGGGGAGATGAGTGACTCCCAAAACCCACCTTCCGCGAAAGAATTCTTAATAGGTCCAGCAGTAGCCGACCGCGGCGTCCCAGGACCGGAAGACAGGATCTCCCATCGCGGCCGCGGTGTAGTAGGACTCGCAGTCTCGAAGCGCGGAAGGTGCGCTGGCCGAAGGGGATGTGCACCCGTAGGCGCAGTCCATGAAGCCGAACTATAAAGCAGCAGCTGCCGTCCACCTGGAGTGACGATTGAATGTACAGGCGGAGGAGGAGGAACCCACCCGAGCACCTTCATACAATGTTCCTTCTTAGCCCGTAAGATATCCTTCTTCGCCTGCCGCCATTTCGCCTCGGTGAAGCGCTCTTTGTTCCAATAAATGACTTCTTCCCAAAACCGAAGGTGTTGTTCCTTAGTCAGGCTTTTCAGTCCCGCTGCTTCGTGTTGGCTGATTGCCTTGCCAGTGGCGGGCGAGATGGCGCTGTCCTCTTTCGTGAAGCCGCGCTCCATTGTGAGGACTCGTTCTGGCATTCTGGACGTATGTGAGTGGGTTTGGAATGTAGACGGGAAACTTTCGTGGGTTGCGACGGGAGTGTTTGGCGGCGTGCTCGGTAATCCCTGCGATCTGGCGAGCAGATTGAGTGTCATAACCTCGCCCGGGTTGTTTGGTCGCGTGAAGGGGACACGGGATTAACTGATCGCAAGAGTTGCGCTCGGCGCAGTGTAGGCAACCGCGTGGGAAAGATTTGCGACTTGATGGGGGAATTCCGTCACATGTCCCTCACTTGCACTGTGAAGGAATAGGGCGGTGTCTTGCAACGGAAGTGAAAAAGGTCTTGGGTCGAGGGTGCGCTGTGATTGTATTTGTTGTGCGGTGCGACTATCACGCGCTACTACCATGAGCAAACGCGCAAGTCGGGGTGAAACTTACTCGGTGGATAGAAATATCGACCTAAGGCGTTGAGCGAATTCAGCGAATGGGAATGGCTGACAGCATGGCGGTGAAAGTGAAACGGATGTGTAAATATAATATTGACCTGTAAATTTTGTCTAGGTGGTATCCAACTCCGCTAATGCGAATGCGACGTCTAGTCTAAGAAAGTAAAAAGGTTTGTATGTACAACATTGAGAGCGCGGTCGGCCTCGCGCTCTTCAATGACACAGGAGATGTTGATCTCGCTGGCGCCTGGTAGATGTTAGCAATGAAGCGGCATTGAGATAGAGAAAGACGTACCCTGAGAAATCATCTCGATGTTGATGTTGTTCTGTCCCAACACGCTGAAGAATCTACCAGAGATACCAATCATGTTCTTCAGCTGCTTACCGACCAAGCTCACAATGGCCATATCGGGCACGATGTCAATGGTGCCGAGCTGGCCAAGGTCGTTGACCGCACCTTGGAGATCCTTACTCTGGATCTTGTACTCATCTTCACCCCCACCACTTAGAAGAGCGGATTCAGAATGGAGAGCCATGGACACGTGGACCTCGGAAGAAGAGATGAGGTCGACAGAAAGGTGCCATCGATCGAGGATGCTGAAGATGTTCATCAAGAAACCATGGGCACGGGTGCGCTTGTTGCTGTGCACGTTGAGCACGACGATGTTGTGCTTGATGGTGACAGCAGTAGGGCGCTTGGGGCCTTCCAGCTGGGTGAGGAGACTCGCGGAACGAGTGCGGAACAGCTTCCCGTCTTTCAGGGGCGCACGACCGTCGATATCCTTCAGGTTATCCGGGAAGATAATGGTACCGGCATTGCGCGGGTTCATCACGTTCTTGATACGGATAGGGATGCGGGCGCGGATGACCTGCTCCATGGTGAAGGGGTGGATGACCTCGGACCCGTAAAAGGTCAGCTCAGCAGCCTCCGAGGGCGTGACGGTGGGGAGAAGGGCGGCCGTAGGGACCTTGCGGGGGTCTGCCGTGAAGATGCCGTCCACCTCCTTCCAGACCTGGAGTTCCTTGGCCTGGGTACCGACGGCCACTAAGGCAGCGCAGAGGTCGGTGTATCCACGTCCAATGGAGTTGAGCAGTCCGCCGGGCACGTTGCCAAAGTATCCGGTAATAACAGGCACCTTGTCGCCGCATGCTGCCACCTCTTTGCCCAGGTCCTCGGCCAGATCCTTGTAGAACTTGTCGTTGAGCCCGCCCTTGATAGGCGCGTGGAGCCTGACGATGTCGCTGAGGTCGACAAACTGGGCCGGGGTGCCGCGATCGTTCAGAATGGCGGCCATATAGCGGCAGCTCAGCTTCTCGCCCTTGCTGATGATCTTGTCCTCGGCGCGGTTCGTGACTTCCTCCAGGTGCTGCGCGGATTCCAAGATCTTGACGAGGCTCTCACACTCGGCATTGACCTCCTCCGTGTACGATGCCAGGATGTCCGGGTTCCTCAGGATGTCCTTGCCGGCCTGGATGTGGTCGGTGCGGATGGCCTCGACGATCTCGTCATAACCGCGGTGGTTGGGCTTCTCGGCAGCGCGGGCGGCACGAAGGAGGCGGTTGGTGGTTCCCTCGAGCTTGGTGTTGCTGCTGCGTGCGGAGCAGACAATGGCGGCGCGGTTCGTCGCAAGACCAGCTCTGTTTACTGTCAGCGCCTTCCATCTGGTGGGGGTTGGGATGGGTCGCACTTGACGATGCCCGCTATGTTCTCCGCAAACTTGCCCACGCTCGTGCCCCCGAACTTGAGAACAACCCAGCCTCCAGGCAGGTGCTTCTCTTCCGTGTGAGCTATCCGCTCCGACTCGTGTGTGGTTCCGTTTGTGTATGCAGACATGGTGGTGTTGTGTGGTTTCTCCAAGCAATTGGCGAGGTAAAGTTTCCTAGATGTTGGTATATATAAACGATGTATGGAAGACGTGTTATTCTCAGTATATGACGTGTGTTGTGTCGTGTGAAGTCTGGAGCAGCGGAGTGAGGGAATTCTCAATGTCTTTTAGTGGGGCCTGAGTCAGAAAGTCCATGTTCGCGCCCGCAATCGGCGCCGGCGCTGCTGACGCCATGCCAGCGAACCACGACTCCACAACCCAGGAACATGCACACACACACCTCAACGGAACGGATCGGTGCATGCGCATGTCCTCCCGGTAGCCAATGGTGCGCTCGCTATTCAGCTACTGCGCGCTCGTCCGCACCCTTCGCAGCCCACGTCTCAACACCACGTCCTCTGGCGCCTTTGATACCTGACAGCTCCTGCCTCTTATCGCGTCTTAGCGCGTCGTCCAAATTACCGTGTCGTCCGCGTCCGACTACGTGCCGGTAGTTGCTCTTCGGCCCATCGGCTATTCGTCCTCTCTGTCTTTTGTACCACATGTGCGACACACAAGCAACAATGGTATTATCTAGCTATCTCTAGTCGGCGGGGAATTGATCCGAAGACGTCCACGTCCATACATCGGGAACATGCGTCTAGGAATCGGTCGCTCATCAACGACATTGCGTGAACCAATTTGGACCCACTGTTCAGGCATTGCACCAACATCTCCGCAAGCTCAATAGAGTGGTCGCCATTCGATGAAGTATGCCATCAGCGAAGCAGTTCATTCAACGTTACAATATTCCTGGTGTTCAAATCAAATTTTCTCGATATTCCCAAGGTTTTGAAACGAGCCTGACCCGATCTTAGGGCATGATCTGAGAAGGACCAAATGCCGCCTTGCCTGCTTCGCTGACCCTGGTATACTCTAGCAGATCTCGAAAAGTTGCCTCATCCTCAATCTCAAGCGCTCGACTTTGCAGGCTTTGCAGTTCCTCCCGGCCGTAGCTACCGCGCGCCAATAATCTACCAACAATACTTCGATACCCTTTACCAACTGCTTCAGCTAGAGCGTTCCCTATCTCTGCATCGTACTCTAGAAGAAGAGAAACAACAGCAAACTGTCCATACCGTACTGCTGTCTCCAACGCCGGTTCACATGTATCCGCACCATGTTCAAGCAACACCCGAACTACCTCCTCATGTCCGTTCCTACAAGCGCCTAGAAGGGGTCGCTTCTCGTACTCACTAGACGGACCGAAGCCGTCTATACGGGCACCAAGTGCAAGATAATGCACCGTCATATCCACCCACCCATTCCTCGCGCTACGCACTAAGAACGCCGTGTATTCCTCAACACCAAACGTTCGGGTAACGCAGTGTTCCATTCGTTTCTTGACGAGGAGGTCATAAATCTCCGAACTAGGTGTATCCAGCGCAGCCAACGCTCGTTCGTTCTGACACCAGTAGGAAGGTCTCTTGGTCTTTCTGTCAAGCATCCACGGACGTTCCACGGCCTGGAAATTCCACAAGAACTGCGTCGTCTCTACACGCCCATACTTGGCGGCCTCGATGAGCAAGCGCATTCGCATATACTGAAAGTCATAGTCATACCTCAAGTTCAGCATAGCGGCAAGAACCTCGTGATTGCTGAACCTACCAGCGTGGAAGCATCCCGAACCAAAGAGCCAACTTGGTTTATTGAAATGTTTCCCGTGGAGGGTCCATCTCGCGACAACAGGGAGTGTCTGTGTGTACAGGGCAGCAATATAGACATCGGTGTCCAGATCGTTATCATATAAACGCCCGTCATGCCAGTGCTCAGGTAAGTGGGCTTCACGCCAATGCTCAGCTAGGTCGGTCGTCCATAGTTCGTCTAGACGGTTGAATTTCTCCAACACAAGGGGGCATAGCTGACGAATGTAGTCGTGCTCGTTTCGCTCATCGTCAGTCTCTTGACTGAGACGGTTGGCGACGCTGCGGATCCAGAGTAGAACAGGAGCTCCGTCACATTGCTCGTTCAATACCCGGCGCTCAAGATAAGCTATCAACATAGTAGGTGCAGCCTCCTTGCTAAGATGTAACAGCGGCCGGAACTCGGCATCCAGAAGCTTGTATAGGGCAAGTACCCTCATAATTTCCCCATCAAAAATCTCTATAGCCGCTCGTTAGCACAGGTACCTGCGCACAAGATGTAGAGGGAAGCTTACTATTCACAAGCCGTAATCGAAGGCCGCGCTTCGTTCCCCGCACTAAGATCGCCCAGCCAAGGATTTCATGCAAAAGCTCCAACGGCAAATCTAGCAGATGCATGGTGGATAGAGTGGTCGACTTTGTAAACAAGATAGCTGTCTGGGGAGAGAAGAAGATTTAACAAGCACGTAAAGCGTTCGGCGGCTCTTCTTGTTCGAACACATTCGGGCCCGAAAAGTCGCGCTAAGAGGACCCCGGAAACCACTTGATTGGCTACTAGTAGCGGCGTAAGCTGCTGCCTGCAATCGCCTTTCCAACCTGAACAACAACCATGTCGTAGGTGGTTATACAGCTACACGCATCCCACCGCCTGCTCGCATCCTGATCATATCCACACATTGGGAAAATGTCTCTGGAACCCAGCCGCTCATGTCGATGAGAGGCAACGTCGATCCTTCCGGACTCACGGACCACTCGCGGCTGTCGTTCGACGCTCCAGTATCACGGCATAGTTCAAGCTGTCTCCGTGACGACCAACTCGCAATTTTAACTGTGCCTCTCATTT